TGGTTGGACTCGATGGTCCCAAGGGTCTTTTGCAACGGGAATTGTTCTATGATTCTATGATTCTAAACTTCCTCACGGGGAGGAGTCTCGGTGTGGCTGGATCCAGTCTTAGCCCCCGACTGTAAAAAGGAGTTCAGACCCTGGGTTCTGCCAGAGAGTCAATTTATTTCAGCTGGAGCTGGGACCCTCCAAGAGGTACCCTGAACAAAGAAATCCTGAGGCAGTTATATCCTTACAATCCAAGTTCACGTTCCTTCACATGATGGTTCAGTCCAACAGCAATGTTTGGGTCTGGGGTCTTCTTGTTCCTCATTGCATCCTTTCTCTGTCTCCATGTGGACATTCTTTTCTTTATCTTGTGTATGCAGTTTCTGTTATCTTGTCATTCTAATTAGCATTGGTTTCCAGACTTAAGCTCATCAATACTTAGGTAAAGTCCACAGTCTGAGGCCTAAGTCTTCAGTAAATCTGCCTACTTGTGCTAAGCAATGCCACTCATAAGACCAGGTTTCAGTTCATCATAATTTTAAACGATCCTACAATTAAATCTAATATTCTACAACTATTTTAATCTCTAACACTTGCTAAAACCTTGTTTGTGCACATATTGTGGTTTCAGGAGTGTTCTTAGAAGGCAGTCGGTTGCAAGTAGCTAAGCTGCTGGGTTTTGTCAACAGGAGCAGACAGAGCTGATCTGGGGCATCAAGGATGAGCTGAGGAAGGTCTGCTCCACTAATGACCTGAAAGAGCTGCTGATTGCCAACAAGCAGGAAGTTCCTTCGGGGGAGAATGCCGTGAGTTGGTCTGTAGTTGCTTTGTGTTGCGTGCTGGGTCTTGGAATCAGTGAAGCTGACCCAAACCGATGTTGCTGCAAGATCCACGAGGCTTGAAGCATATTCATAACAACAGTTCAGAAGGAAATTTAGTGCAAAGCCCAGTTCTTTTGTCCCAGGACTCTGATATTGCTGTTACGCTTGCTTGTGAAGGGCTGTGTGGTGTCTCAGTGATGTGTCTTTATCCTGCTATGCCCAGACTTGTCCGTTGGTTTGGTTTTTTTTTTAATTGCTGGCTCTTCAAGAGAGGTTAGTTATAGCATGTCATGTTGCCTCCCTCAGCTGTTAAATTATGCAAAAAGAAGCAAAATCTGTGCAAATTCTTTCCTGGTATCTTTTCTGAAACCAGTCACTTTTCAATCTGTGTAACTTTTCTCTTTTGGAGACACACATGACTTTAAGTATTTGTATTTATTAAGTCTCTTTGTAAGGAGTGTGGGCTGGGATGTGGGAAGCGTCTAGACTCAAAATGGACAAGAAATACACTCTCTAGGCAAGAAACTGGGACTTATTTCAGCCTACATTCCCAGCTACCTACTCAGTAGCTCGTCTCCTCCTTGGCTGTCCTGACGTGGCTGCCTGGTCAGGCACTGGGTGGTAGATATGCCCTCCTGAAAGTCAAACCCAAATAGGAGCCACTGTGAGCCATGGCTCTGAGCAGATAGGGTGTAACCGAGGAAACGTCATGTCATGTCTTTAAGACATCATAAATCAATCAGTGCTGGTAAGAGTCTTGGGTTTATGTGCAGCGTATGCATGACAAGCACTGGAAGTGTCTACGTCTGCGTGCCAGCAGCCTGAAAGTTATTTTCTTGTGCAGCCCACTGTAATGTGGCGCGTGGGCTTCCAGCCTCCTTCAGCCATGACCTGATTTGTATTTTTTGTTGCTTTAGATTTTGGACCGAGTAGCAGATGGGATGGCGTTTGGAGCTCTGCTTCCCTGCAAGGAGTGTAAGGGGCAGTTTGTGTTCAAGAGTGACGCGTATTACTGTTCAGGGGATATTACTGCCTGGACTAAGTGTGTTGCTAAAACACAGACTCCCAGCAGGAAAGACTGGGTAATCCCAAAGGTGGGTGCTTACTGCAAATTTGATGATCTGAAGCACTTTTCTGAACTGATTTTACTGCTTCTAAAGGAGATTGAATAAGCAGCAGTCAGTGTTGGATGCCAGAGAGCAGAGTGTGCTGTCTTGCTGAGCAGCTGTGACAGGGGGGAAGTCCTGTGTCCCTCCAGGGATAGGCAGCTAATGCAGAGCTAAATAATATTTTTTCCTAACACTAGATTGATGTTGTTGATTTTAAACCTGTCGTTTTCCCTCTTCCTAGCTTTGTTTTCTCAGTCAGTGAAGTGAGTATTTGCCTACCTCAGTATGAATGTCTCAGAAATTCTTTCCAAGACCTGCAGTAAATGCCAGCGTCTGGCCAGTGCTCAATTTAGCCTTTAAATCTTATAATGGTATTTGTTGCTTTTAAACTCTACTTACACTTCCATCCCACAGGAGTTTCGGGAAATTCCTTACCTGAAGAAATTCAAGTGTAAGAAGCAGGACAGAGTATTCCCTCCAGATGCTGCGACTGCGAACTCTGTGCCTCCTCCCTCCGCGTCTGCTCCTTTGACAGAGACTGTGTCCGCACCCAAGGGTAAGTGGTTGCCTGGGCATGGGTCAGTGGGGTTCAGGATTATGTGTAATGCTGTTCTTAGCCAGATAAAACATGCCACTCTGAGCAGGCATGCTCTTCTCCTGCCCCCAAGCAGGCAGAGCTCTCCTGGTAAAAAAACAACATAGCAGAGTCTCATGTGCTTCGCCTTGCTAGTGCAGGCAGACCCTGATGTGGTGGGTTGCCTGGGCACATGATTGTTTGCTAACAAATCGTTTTGGGTATTTGTTGATGGTGAGGAAATGGGTGTGTTTGCAGTGAATCAGAAACTTAAAGGCTGACCTTGCAAAATGTGTCCCAAGGGAGACCTGCTGTGAAATGCCCCCTTGCTTGGTTTGTTGGGGAACATCCAAGGACCTCTGTAACGCTAGATATTTCATGTCACGTTAGGTTTTGAGGGCAAGTGGGTTTTTTTGTTTTATTTTTTAAATCCTCGGATGGGGTTTGGCTTTACCAATCACTGGCTTCCCGTGTGCAGAATTGATACACTGTTTCCAGCCCACAAATTGGCAAAAAGCTGGACTCCAGAAATTCCCTGTAGGCTGTTGCAATGAGTTGCATGCTTTGGTGGTATTGCGTGTCCACTAAAAGCTATGCTGACTTCTTCCTTATTCAGCCTTTTTAGCCCTGGCCATAGTTTTGGAAGCAGAAGATTATTGTTGCTTAGTGAAGTGGGTGGGAGCAATTCTGCACAGCTAATTTTAGCCCTATCATGTTATTTTAGCAATGAAGACAAAGTAGTGGTTCTGATGGACAAATCGATTCCAGCCCCAGTGTGACCTGAAAGTAAACTCAAAATGTTGACCAAAATTAAAGCCGGGTTACTTTGTTTGGAAACAACCTAACTAATCTGGGTTGGGGGAAGAAGTGGAAAGAAACTTTCAGTTGGTCAACCAGAGTAAATAACATTTATTTTGAGCAATGCAGATGTGCTCTTAGACACTTGTCGTGTCCTGGACCTACCTGCACTGCAAAGTGTTAACATGCAGGTGTGGTGGAGCCTCAGATGGTTACCAGTTTGCTCCTAGCCTGTTAAGGGGTTTGCGTGGTACAGCCTTGTACTGTCTATGAAGTCAAGACTTGAATGTACTGTAATGTAGGAACATTGTTGCTTGAAAGATGATCTTTCTCCAGCCCATCATAATGGATTTCCTTTGGAGGAGGCAGGAGCTTTCATGGTACAGTGAGTTTCTCCCATGCTCTCCAGGCATTGAAAGAAGAGGGCAGTCGAGCACCCTCTCTAGTAGCACAGTGCTGAAGCAGATTGATATTATTATTTTTTCTTCATAAAAAAAAAAAGGCCAACAAATAATCGTGCCTACATATCCATCTTCCCTGTCTCCAAGCCCTTCTGTTTGTTGGTGGGTTTGTTGACTTTCTTAGGTGAAGAGGAGCTTCCTCCCACTTGTGTAGTGCAGGTCAGACCTGTTTGGACCCCTGTCCAAACCCCTGCCAGGTGGGTGGATTGTACTGAGTGTGGAGGGTACTGTCTCTTTGTGCTTGTTATTTGTCTGGGTGTCTCTGTCTTCTGCTAACACACTGTGTTATTTCCAAACCTGTAGACAAACCACTGACTAACATGAAGATTCTGGTTCTCGGAAAGCTGTCAAAGAACAAGGAGGAGATGAAGAGCACCGTGGAGGACCTGGGAGGAAAGATGACAACATCAGCTAACAAGGCCAACCTGTGCATCAGCACACAGAGTGAGCAGCCGTGCCTTGGTTACTGGTTGCACTGGTAACAGAGCTGAGCAGATTACAGAGGACATTTGTCCTTGGAACTGTCTGGCGATCAGTGTTTGGATTAGAGGGAGTGTTTTGTGTGCATGTCTGGCTTTAGTGTGCTTGGAAAAGTAAAGACAGATGTGCTTTTTGACTTTTAATTTACTGAGCACATTAACCCTAGGCTACCATAAAGCTCGTCAGGTCTGCAGCAGCCGGAGCGCGGGTCTGTATGCAGACCCCAGTGGTGTGCAAGCCACCCTTGTTGGGACGGTGGGTGCTGGGGTCTGTGCCCATGCTTGGAGAAGCCACAGAGCTGACTGTGCGTGCCTGAGGGCAGTTGCCTTCTCTGCTGGCAACTTAGGGTCTGCTCTTGCTCCTTGTTGGAGTGGAGGTGCAAACTGGCTGCTAAAGCTGGAGATCTGCTCCCACCTGCCAAGAAGTCCGAGAGGGACTGTACAGCCCCAACCCAGCTCTAGGGTGCGGAGAGCTAGATCAGCCAAATAAAGCAGGAGTGTTCCTGTTTTAGCCCAGGCTGCAGCTTAGAGCTGATGGGGATTTTGCTCTTCAAAGAACACAGTGATTCCAAAATGTGGTGGTATTGTGTTTCCATAAAGTGTTCAGGAGTCCTGAATCATAGCCGGAGGGAGGGACTAAAGTCTGAAACCTCACTGATGCTTCTTTCTCTGTTTCCCACCCTGCCTCTGCAGAGGATGTGGAGAAAATGAGCAAGAAAATGGAAGAAGTGAAGGAGGCCAAAGTCCGTGTGGTCTCAGAGGAGTTTCTTCAGGATGTGAAATCCTCCAGCAAGGACTTTCAAGAGCTTGTGTCTCTCCATATGCTTTCACCATGGGGTGCAGAGGTGAAAATGGAGCATGAGGAAATGGCTGTGGATGGGAAGTGCAGCAAGGCCCCGAGTATGAAAAGCGCTGGGAAAGTCAAAGAAGAACAAGGTGAAGAACAAAGCAGTTGTTCTCCACAGGCCTGTTCAGTGTTGTGGATGCACAAAGCAAACCTGAATATAGTCCATTCTTGCCCTTTCCTTGAGTTCTCTGCCCCTTTTCTCATAATAAATTTAAATAATGAGACCTCAGGACAGTACTAGCTTTAAGTAAACATGAAATTGTCTTTTGAGCTGGCTTTTGTGTCCCCTAGTTGAGTCTTGCTTCAGTGACCTCCTGTGCTGTGTGTGTGCAGGCTCCCTGACATCTCTTTCTCATAACACATCAGCTTCCCTGCCAGTCTGGGTCATTGTTGCAGCTCCAAGGATATGCTGGGTCATCAAGATGTGACAGACACTACTATGACCTGTAAGGGGTATTAACAAGTGTGAAGATACTGGGGTGCAGAGCAATGATGCCTAGTTCTACTTGGTTTAGAACACAATACTCTTTTAATGGAAAGGGAAAAATATCCAGCGCTAGTGACATTCTTCCCCAATGCCATAGAGAGTTTGCATTAGTAACACTGGTCAGCCAATAAAACCTTTGGGTCTGCTCTCCAGTCTTGAGAACCCAATCGTCTCCATGTCCTCCAGGCGCAGGTTTCTGCATGTGTTATTGCCAGGCTGTCTCACAGCAGTAACATCTCCAGGGGACTGAAACGCCCTCCCCACCCTGTGAGCTTTTTAAATCCCACTTTTATTTGTCTTTTATCTACAGGTGAAAAAAATGATACAGCCGACCCCTTGGGGCCAGAAGGAAGGAGATAAATAAAATCTCCCCAGATTCAATCTAATTGGCAGGGTGGGGGCTGTGGATTGCCTGGTAAAGCCAGGTTAAAAAAGCCATTTAAGTTATTCTGCTCATATACTAAGAATCTTACTTGAAGTCTTCTTAGGATGATAATTATGCAAATTGAAAATTTAAATGTTGATTCAAGACTGTGTTGCCTGCCTAGGAAAAAAATTAACTTAATTCTATTTCCCTGCAGGACCTAGCAAATCTGAAAAGAAAATGAAGCTAACAGTTAAGGGTGGAGCAGCAGTAGATCCTGATTCTGGTGAGTGATAACAGTGTCTGTGCCTTCACCGCACAGTCTCCGGGGTGTGTGGTCATTGGCGAAATGTTTTCCTGTGAAAGGATATGTGAATTTTTAAACCATTTCTTTTTCTTGCTATCAAAGGCAGGATATTAATTGCCATTGAAAGCTGGATATTCTAGGATTTTTTAGTGCGGCTTTCAGAAGGACCACTTCAGCTAAGGGGTGCACCTTGTTCAGCTTCAGGAGCATCTGTCAGTGGGGTGAATAAAGGCCCAGTCAGCAGAGGCCACAGGTCTGGTGTGAGCATCTGCCCCTGGACTCTTTTCAGGGGGCAGCTGATGCTACTCTCCAAGCCTGTGGTGTGCAGACATCGTTCTGAGAATTCACACTGCATCCAAGGCCAGCCTTTAATTATCCCATCCATTTGCTAACGTGACACACACAGAGCTGTATCTCTTCTGAGAATTTCTGCAGCCAGTCACACAGTGTTAAATACTAGATTTTAGATGGTCCTTTATCAGAAGTTGGATTGTTTTGTTTTTTCTCTAGTTAGAACTGATGTTCACTCCAGTGTATGTAAAGGTCCATGCTCACAATTTACTAGAAAGAAAACATATTCTGAGTAGCTTTTGAATGACTATGTCGTCACTGGTTTTGCAGTATTTTTGTAAAGAGTCACACTAGTTCATGAAACACTTGAGTGAGTTCAAAAGTCGGAAGGACACGTATGATGGCAACCTCCTCTGTGTTCTAATTTATTTCTTCCTTGTAGGTTTGGAGGATTCTGCTCATGTCTTTGAAAAAGGTGGAAAGATTTTCAGTGCAACCCTGGGCCTAGTAGATATTGTGAAAGGAACAAATTCCTATTATAAACTGCAGCTGCTGGAGGATGACAGAGAGAACAGGTGAGTTTAGATTTCCCTAGAAGTACTTTTGTTCACTGGTTTCTTAACAAATACTGTATTTTTGGCATCTGCAAAAGCAAAGCATGTATAAAATGTCTTTGTGAGGAGATCTGAGGAGATATGGATAGATATATTTAGTGACAAAAAACAAAACCCAAAAAACCATGCAAAACAAACAAAACACCCCCCAAACCTCCCCCAAAACAACCAAAAAGTACAAAAAACTTGAAACACAAACCACCCAGGGAGACATCTCTGGTTTTTGTGGGGACATTTCTTTGTGGTTTTGACAAAACCTGTGTTAGGAGGTGAGTAAGTTTGTGGAATTGCAGGTGGTAGTGTTTGTGCATCCTGGGATGAGCGAGGCATGTGCACTTAGTGTCTTTAGGGCTGGATTATAACTGGCTCACAGGAGGGCCACAGCGCTCTGATGGCTGACCTTGAAAATACAGAAGCAGAATTTGGTGAAGTTTCCTCTATTCTAACATCAAGACTCCACGTGCACAGTCAAGGATGTTGGCAATCTTTTCCATATTCTCCATGTTACTCCTGTCTTTTAATTGCAGAGCTGTAACCTTGGGAAACAAAACCAGATTCTGGCTATTTTACCGCAGTGCGGTCCTGAATTTCGTGCCCTGAAGCTTAATAAAATGCACTGAAGTGGTCAGGGGATGATCATGTGTTTGGCTTTCCAGTCCCATCAGGTGCAGAGCTGCCCAGTGGTTGTGTTACTGAAGAGATAAAGAAATGGAGAGGGCTCTTTAAAATGAAACTGCCTGCCTAAGCATGTAAGGGATGCACAGAAATCCAGACCCTGAGACCCTGGTTCAGTTCTAGATTTATTGGGTTTTGCCACGTTCATAATAAACTTTTGTTTCTGGCACTTTTATGTGGGCTTTGTCTCTGGGTTTGTGATTCAATACATGGAGGGATATCACTGCCTGTGTTTTGTGCCTGGCATATTGAAGAGATTGATTGTATCCCTATAAATGCTACAGAAGCTTCCCCAAGGTGCTGTCAGTAATACAGACAAATGCTTGAATTACTTCTGTTTTCTCTAAAAATCTGAACTCTAGGAGTTGGGGCTCAAAGTTGCGTTGTGTTTAGGTTTTAAAATGTATCACCCCAATAGTCTGAAGTATTTGTGAATCATTAAGACCGAAGCTATCAAATCTCTGTTTTCCTGCTGTGCATACCTTTATCCTCAGGGCTGTAGGTCTGGTGTGTTAACACTGGGCATTTTTTCACACCATTTCTTGGATGTCTGCTCTGTGGAGGCTCTTCTGTTGCTCCCTGCAGCTGGTGATAGAGAATGTCTTACGTAAAATTAACAGTATGCAAATGGCTGATTCGCATGCAGCTGCATGTTGCAGGGTCAGTGTCATTTGGACTGAGATCTGGAGCCAGAGTATCTTATGTCAGTTCTTTCCTCACGTTTCACTTCTCTAGATACTGGGTGTTCAGATCCTGGGGTCGCGTGGGTACTGTAATCGGGAGTAACAAGCTGGAGCAGATGCCTTCAAAAGAAGATGCCGTTGAACACTTCCTGAATTTGTATGAAGAGAAAACTGGCAATTCTTGGCATTCAAAGAACTTCACTAAATATCCCAAAAAATTCTACCCGCTGGAAATAGACTATGGACAGGTAACTCTGAAATGTCCCTTTACCAAGTGGAGCATTGCTCAGCTGCTTCGCTGTAGCTGTTCTCTTCAGTGCTCACTGTTGGATCACTTATGCTTAAAAAACTCAAGGAATGAAGTGCATCTTCTCTCTACTACAGAAAGAGAGCTGTAGGTCAGTGAGTGTCATGCATTAAAATAGATGCATTGGGAAACTAAGTAGTTTTCCATTGGCTGGTGTGAAGTCCCTTTTAGTTGCTTGTTCCTGTTTACTCTGTGATTTTAAGGTTATTAGTTTGAATTTAATTCAGTAGTCATTTTGCATACATTCTGTCTGAAAACACCATTTTCTTTTATTTAAAATAAATACTTCTCATCTGTCTCCTGCATCCAAGACCCTTCTAAATGCTGAAGGAAGTCCCATGCAGCGTTCTCCTTAGTGCACATTCCGAGCAGGCTGAGGAAGAGTAGTTATTCACTGATGATAAGCTTTGGCTATTGAGACAGCTAAGCTAAATTTGAATTCTCTTCCTTCTGCCCAGCGAGGGTTTGTGTGTTTATTTAAAGGCGTACCCATAACTTAAACTATTTTCAGATTAAATAGTTGAATGCTGATAATTGCTATAAAGAAACCGCAGAACATATTTTTCAAGCCTTTGGATTTTTCTGTGGCCAAATTGCAGGATGTCATCTTTCATTGCAAAGTACTTGATGCTTAGCTTTATTTCTGGGAATTTGAATGTTGCAGTGGCAGAGTGTTACACTGCAATGTACAGTGATATTCTGAAGCATCTGGCAGATGTTTTATTGGCACAACACTCTATCCGTGAAAGCATCTAGATAGTATTATGGCTAATTGATGATTCCTGGTCTCATCTATGACAGTTTTTAGTACAAAAAACTTAATGAAGCTAGTTATTACATCTCTATTTTGTCATAAAAGTAAGAAAATAAACAGTCATTTTTTCCTATCAAGGTCTTTATGCAGCAGAAAGCTAGCAGAAAAAATAATACTGTTGCTTGTGGTGAAGCAGAGATGCACAGAGAATTCCTATTCCCATAATTCTACTTGTATTTTACAGTATCACCTCTTGAAATAACATTTTCCAAATTACTGAATAGGTGGATTTTTAAACACAATTCCTTCCAAAATGTCAGTAATGTCCCACGCTCTCCATGAACTTCAGGCTCATCATAGTATGTATGCACTAAATTGGTTTTGAGTTGTTACCATGGCAGCCAGCCTGTTACTTTTATCCTTTGTGATTTTGCTAATTCTGATACTATTTTTACGTCCCAGGATGAAGAAGCTGTCAGGAAACTGACAGTAGGTGCTGGGACGAAGTCAAAACTTGCTAAGCCAATCCAAGACCTTATTAAGATGATCTTTGATGTGGAAAGCATGAAGAAAGCCATGGTGGAATTTGAGGTGACTACACACATTCAAGTTTTCCCACTTCTAACCATCCATCATACTTATGCAGCCAGAAGCATGTTCTTAGCAATCCAGGGTACATCATACTTCCCAGAAGTTAGTGTGAGTTTTAGAACAGCCTTAAACTAAAGATAAGAGTCTGACCAGAATTTGCAAGATGCTGGAAGTGTGATAACTTAATTTTACGGTATGTGCAGTGTGTCGGTCCTGGAATCAGTGGTCATTCTATGTTGTTTTTTGTTGTTGTGGCTTTGTTGTTTGTTTTGGTGTGTTGGTTTTTTTTTTTCTTCCAGTGACACATGCATTGTGACCACTGTTTGCAGAATGCTCTTAAAATATTAACACAGATAACCAATTTGGCAGTGACATGGGGCTGGAGAGACTTTTATTTGTGAGCAGTGAACTGTGTTTTGAGGGGGGGCAGCACTACTGATAATTTAGGTAGCAAATGAGCATGTAGCTCAGACTTGAGAAATGCTGCCACTTGATACATTCAATAATGAAGTGCCTTGAGAAAGTGCAGATCTTATTCTAAACAGGACCAAAATGGAGATATTTTTTGTGTGTGTGTTTCTAATTTGTTCTAGATACCCTTTCCCATATTTTCTTCTTTCCTCTGTACTCCTTGGTCCATGCTTCAAACAAGCTTTCAGAGAGTGGCCTGGCAGTATCATCTGTCTCTCCTTGCATAGAAGTAGTTTTACTCATGCTCAGAGATCCTGCAGTTTGTTTTGATGCAGCCATTCAAACTGATTTAATTCTAAATATCAAATTTCAGTTTTCTTCAGCCAGCTTAGTTATCCTGTCCTCAGACTTCATATTTAAGCAGCTGTCATTTGCTCTTTGTATTGGTATTTTGTGTGTTTGCTTCTCAGAACAGGCTTTGCACCATTTGGTACAGCTTGTCTGAACGCTTTCAGATGACTTGCCCAACATTTTGTAGTATTTTGGTTTAATTGTGTTCTCCTGTATCTTGTTCTTTACATCCAAGTCTTCTTAATTTCTTTTAGCTTTCTCTTAACTTTTCTCTTTCTTTTAACTTTCTCTTAATAATTCTTTGTAAGTGGAACTGGCTAAAGATTCTGGTCTGATCATCGTCTGATGTAATTTGGTTTTGTAGAACTCTGTTGAAACTTTTGTTAATGCACACCATCTGCAGATCTACAAGACACCTGGAAGTCCAGATGGGCTTGTCTTCCTATTAGATTTACCATCCCCTACTGTTGCTGCCGAACAGCTGTTTTCTGTTAGAGGAAATAATGTTTTTCCTAGTTAAAGGGTTTTGTGCATCCTTGAAATTCAGTTGCTTCAGCCAGCCTCACCTGGAGTATTTCATTCCATCCAGGCACTTTTGCTCTGCTAAAACTAGCAAATTCTTACCCTCTCTGTTACACAGCAATAGATTTATCTGATCCATTTATCTTCCTGCTTCTAATTTAGCTTTCAAGGGATTTACCTCACCAAGCACAGAGGAGTTTATTACAATTACCTGTGTCATTGCCTCAGGTGAAAGGACTAGTTAGAGGGTTGAGTCTGTTCTGATGCTGTGTCCTGTCTTGCCTGGGTGGAAAGCAAACACCTCCTTTGCCTCTCCTGACAATCTTAGTGGAGACATCTGTGATGTGAAGCTAATTCTTCATGTTACCCTTAGTGCATCTGGCTGTAATTCAGTTGGTTTAGACCCAGCCCTTTGGCTGCTGTGCTTTTTTGATGCATCTAATGATAAAGCTTTGGATGCAGTGTGTATTAGCTCTATGGGGCTCTGTTCGTGATCTGTGATACATAGGAGACAAACTCCAGCCCTGTATGTGGGCTCTGTAAGAGATCATATTACTCAAATCACGTTGTCGGGGGCATCTCTTAGTTTATAGATGTTAGTGTTTGTGTTAGTGCTTATATGTTTTAGTTTAGAAGTTTGTATAACATATAGTTAGTATAGGTGTCTGCAGCTATTCTGCTTCATCCAAGTGGCCTGTTTTACCTACCCGTCATGATTTTTCAGCTAGTGTTTAGACAACATGGGTGGAACTCAACGAGAAAGTATTTGCCTCAAAAGTTTGAGAGCTACAAACCTACTGCAAGATGTTTTTTATTAGATTATTAATCTCGTCTCTGTGACTCTTGTGTTCCCAGGACATGATCAGTTTTGAAGCCTGTCTTCTCTCTTGCAGGCCATCTTGACTTTTCTTAGAATCTGGCTTCATGTACGCTTAGCTGCAGCTATAGGTGGAACTTCTAGGCTCAGTACAGGGTGGAAATCTCCATACAAAATCACTTCAGGGCTTTTGCACCAGTCTGTAGTTTGGAAGAGCCTTCTGAGTTCAGCTTGCAGAGAAGATTTGCATGAAGCTGGGTTTCCTAGCTCCATGGTGAATAAATAATGTGGAACTCGCCCAGATGGTACATAATATACATGGCTTCATAGGATCTCCTGTCCCTGAGCTGCACCTTAAACCCATGAAGTAAAAGCTAGTTTGACCTGCAAGGTGTCAGTTATTGTCAAGAGCCCAGAGGGTATATGTATGTCCTTTGTAAAAGACTCTGTCTGACTTGACTTTTGTCAAACGTTTTTGCATTCAGCTGGTCCTTAACTATGCAAGGATTTAATGTGAATCCAAAACTCTCCCAGGATCCATGCACAAATAAAAGCAACGTATAAATTAAATCAGTCTCCAAGGTGAGCAGCCCTGGTGCTGGCAGGATCTGCCGTGGAGGGCGCTTATGTGGAGCGTGGGAGCCAGGGGAGCTGACACACCAGCCAAGAGCTCACAGCTTGCACAACAGTAGCTGATGGGACCAGTTCAGGGCCAGGAACAACAGTGGCCAAGCCCTCACCTGTAGAATAAGCCCTTAGGGAGCACTAGGGACGTGAGCGGGTGAACAGGGCATGGCATGTTGCAACAGCATGGGGCAGCAGTTCACGCAGAAGGATGAGCAGAGAGGGCACTGAAGCTCTGCCAGTTTAAGAGGAACAGCTGAGGGAACTGGAGTTGTTTAGCCTAGGGGAGAGGCAGCTGAGGGGAGACCTTATTGTTCTCTACAGCTACCTGAAAGGAGGTTGTAGCGAAGTGGGGGTCAATCTCTTCTGCCAATAATGAGTTATAGAACAAGAGGAAATGGGGTCCAGTTGCACCAGAGGAGGTTAATTGGATATTGGGAAGAACTTCTTGACTGGAAGGGTTGTCAAGCACTGGAACAGGCTGCCCAAGGAAGTGGTTGAGTCATCATTCGTGGAGGTCTTTAAAAGATATGCAGATGTGGTGCTTAGGGATGTTTAGTGATGGACTTGGCAGTGCTAGGTTGACGGTTGATCCTGATGATGCTAAAGGTCTTTTTCAACCTGAATGATTCTATGATTTTAAATGCAGACAACCAAGACGTTGCTTTTAATTAGGGTTGGGTTTCTTTTTGGTTTATTTTTCATTAATGAGCATGAAGCACCTTTGCTTTTGACCCTGGGTAATTGCAAAGTAAAGGTATCTAGGTTGTACCTAGAGACACAGGTGATCTTACGAACAAGAATAATTTAATTTAGTTTTGCTTCTTTGCCAGCCTCAAATGTATGGTTACTGAAGTGATTGAGGAATCCATCTGACACCAGGTCAATATTTAACTTCCAGCCAGACACTTAGTACCCTTTTTTTATGTTGCCCTAGTAGTGTGGACTGTCCTTCTCACATAATTCCTCGCTCCATAGAGATTAATGCTGAGTCTGAAATGTTTCCATGCTTTGTGGGTCAGTCCTACCAGGATGGAGAGATTTCTTCCCTAGAAACTAGAGAGGAAATGCTGCCATGGTTTTAATATAGTGAAATCTTGTTCTGACCATTTATATCTTCCATCAGATTGACCTGCAGAAGATGCCATTGGGAAAACTGAGCAAGCGACAGATCCAGAGTGCATACTTTCAGCAGGTGAGCATGGAAGAGATGTTAGAAGAAGAGGAGAATTCAAATGTTGTTCTGGGCTTGGAGTGGGGTAACTGCTGAGCTATGTGGATAAAAATCGTGCTTGCTCTTGGAGAAGTGGATGTGACTTCCATATGTAACTAAGTTCTTGTCACTGTTGTACCAGTTTGGACAGTACTTGTACCTTTCACACTTTTGTAGCACAAACTTCAGGCTGAGCCAGACATAAATGGCAGTTGAACAAATGAAGCCAGATATAGTAGCAACTGGGTGTTTCCACCTCAGAGAAATCTGTCTGAGGATGCAAATAAAGGTTAAGCTGACACAGGAAAGGGTCTGTCTTGATGATATAACTGTAGTTACACAGTATGATCTGGACCATTCCAAGAATCACTACGTAATATTGCCTGAGCACTTTGAAAAGTGTATGAGCATACCTCATTTTTTGTCAAGGATTCCCTGGCAAAGCATAGAGAAGGGCAGTTTTACTTCAGCTGTGAGAGTAGACCAGAATCTTGCCAAGGACATGCATCCCTTCCATATCCACAAGCCTTTTTATTGCCTTCCAGAAATATACTCTCCACTAGATTTTTCTCATATCAGACATTCTGTGTATTTCTTTGCAAGTACTATGATTTTCTACATGCAAAACAATGAAGTATAATTGCCTTTTTTAGTTCTGCGAGAGTTACAACATTAACACTATTTTTATTGCTGCTTGTGTATTAGTCCTCAAGTATCTTGTGTGTATCTGTTGCTGTAGAGACTTAATCTTAGTTGGTAATTTTCTTTGGTGCTTGTTGTCTTTTCTAGGCGGTTTCTGACAGTGGTTCAGAATCCCAGATCTTGGACCTCTCCAACCGGTTCTATACCCTGATTCCTCATGACTTTGGGATGAAGAAACCACCTCTCCTAAACAACCTGGAATACATTCAGGTATTGACTGGAAACAGTATGTTGTTTGCAGGCAACAAGTCTGATAACAAGACATCTAACACCGAGGATTTGTGAGGTTTTAAGACTTAACTTTATCCTCATGCTTTCATCAGGTTAAGCTTGTTTTTCTTAAGAGTATCTTTTTGTTTATGTGCATATATCTTTGTATAAATAAACAAATAATTGTATGTGTAAGATATTAGAAGATACATATCTTATATATTTATGGCCTATTTATATATATGTATTTATGTGTGCGTATATTTTAGTGTATTTAAGTAAATATGCTGTTTTATTAAAAAAACAAACCAGCAGTGGTGTTATATGCTGTTAGGTGGCATTGTATGGCCAGTGATTCCTATACACTTTTATAAATTGGAGTATTTCAGAGTTATTCTGAACATTGTCAAAGGCACAAATAAAATAACCTTTTTAAATTCTTCAGGCTAAAGTGCAGATGTTGGACAACTTGCTTGATATTGAGGTTGCTTACAGCCTTCTCAGAGGTGGAAATGAAGATGGAGATAAAGACCCAATTGACATCAACTATGAAAAACTTCGAACTGATATTAAGGTAAAGGAAATAAAACGAGTTGAGTGGCTGTGAATACAAGCTGATGTCCTCTTAGTTTGTAGTGTAGCAAATCACTTAAACTGTAAATGGAAAGATGTATTGGCATGGTTTCAATGACTGGCCACTGGGATGGTTAAGGGACTGGAGCATGTGTTGTATGAGGGGGAAAAAAAAATTAAAGAGCTGGGACTGTTTAACCTGGAGAAAAGAAGGTTCAAGGGATATCTAATCAATGTCTATTAATACCTGATGAAAAAGACAGATGGAGACTCTCTTGCAGTGGTATCCAGTGACGAGAGGCAATAGGCACGAATTGAAATATAGAAAATTCTGTTTAAACAAAAGAAAAAACTTTTGTTATTGATGGTGTTTGGGTTTGTTGGTTTTTTTTGTTTGCCTGCTTAATGTGTCCAAACACTAGAAAACTGCACAGAGAGGCTGTGGAAGCTCTATTCTGTGGAGGTGTTGAAAGCCTGACTGGACTCAACCCTTGGCAGCCTCTCCTCCAGCTGACCCTGCCTTGAGCAGGGGAGTTGGAAATCATCTCAATATCCAGAGGAGCTTTCCCATCTCAGACATTCTGTGACTGAGTGTGGTCTGTATACCTGTGTGTCTTCTCTATAGCTGGGAATAAATTTCCACCCAAATGATACAGGAAGCGTAAAGTGGGGAGCTGCAGGTGTATGGTGGATGCCATTGCGTTATAAGAAGCCTACTAGTTTGTGTGCTAAAGAAGCTTCTCTTGTTTGCCTCTCTGCAGGTTGTTGACAAAGATTCAGAAGAAGCCAAGATTATTAAACAATATGTGAAAAACACACATGCTGCTACTCACAACGCATATGATCTCAAAGTCGTGGATGTAAGCTGGGCAGTAATGGGGTTTAAGTTTACGAAGATGGATTCTTCCAAGTCAACTTACTTGTTCACAGTTTCCTTTTATTTTCCAGTAGCTTATCTCATGTCCTTTGAAGGGATGGTTTGACAGACCAATGGCTGTTTAACAGAACAGCAAAAGTCTAGATAGATATGAGTCTTAAGCTTACTGAGGTGTCTTTGGGGTTGTTTTTATTTTAACTTAATTGGCCTCAAAAAAGTGGTGGAGGAGTAATCATCATCTAAAATTGAGCCTTAGTTCATAGAATGAATTTTCAGAAAACTATGGTCTCATGAAAACCAGAAGAGAAGGTGGAGAAGTAATCAATAACAAGTACTGTGTGATCAATGCTACCTCTTTTATGCTGGCATGACATAGAAAACTGCAAATATTAAAAAACATCCAGATCAATTATCCTGGCAGATTACTGTGTATTCTGGTCTGGCTTGTGTTTTTTTTTTTTAAATCTGATTAGTTGCATGGAGGTAATGGTTTATTTGCTTGGTTGTTCTTTTTCTCCTATCTTTATTTCGGATTGAAGATCTTCAGGATTGAGCGTGAAGGCGAGAGTCAGCGTTACAAACCATTTAAGCAGCTTCATAATCGCCAGCTGCTGTGGCACGGTTCCCGCACCACCAACTTCGCCGGTATCCTCTCGCAGGGTCTCCGGATTGCTCCCCCCGAAGCTCCTGTGGTACGTTAAACTGAGAGATCTTCTCTGGCTGCCTCCATCCCTGTGCCCAGAGGTGGCCACAGTTGGAGACAACCTAAATAGGAGAATTTCTGTGCGGGGAGGGCTCAGTGTTATCATTTGGCAATGTTGTGTGTCCAGAGCGGGTTGCTGACTGGTGTCCACAAGATCTTGAGCTGCTCTCCTGGGAGCCCAGCCATGTGGATTGCTACCTTTGTGTTGTTGTCTCAATTTTCTTATCTTCTCCACCCCACCCTCCCTCCTCTTCCTTCTTGCAGACTGGCTACATGTTTGGGAAGGGCATCTATTTTGCAGACATGGTATCCAAGAGTGCCAACTACTGTCACACATCTCAAGCTGATCCCATAGGCTTAATACTACTGGGTGAAGTTGCCCTTGGAAATATGTAAGTAACTTACAAAGAGTATTTGCCAAGCATGCTTAATATATCATGGTAGAAGGTGATGCTAAAACTGCAAGTCTTTTCTTCAGTGTGAAGAAAGAGTGCTTTGTATTTCTTTAGAAACAAGATTTCTTTTTTTTCTTAAAATAAGGGCTGTTTGGTGGGGCAAAAAATCAGTGTTGCAGCTTTAGACTTTTATGCTAAATGCCATTGTCATTGAAATTAGTAACTGAGACAAGGAAGGCCATTGAGTTACAGAAAAGCAGAATCTAAATTAACTTTATATTAATTCACCATAAAGTGAAGCCTGAAAAAGATTTTTTCACCAAGGTAGTTTAAAATGAATGTAAAATGCTATTTTGTGTTCTTTGTACTGTCCAGGTATGAACTAAAGAATGCTTCTCACATAACAAAATTGCCCAAGGGAAAACACAGTGTGAAAGGTAAGCATTTGTAGCTGTCATTACTAGTCTAATGTTGATAACAAACTTGTTTTGTGGCCTTTGCTTAGCAAAGAGAACTGTAGTCGTTTCATAGCTGTGCTTCCTTTAAGAGTTTGTATGATGTTGCCCTGTAGTTGCATCTGTGTACATATATATGGTGTTTTGAAATGGGAGTTAGTACATTTGGAATGCTAAGACTGAAGTTTTAATGTATTGCCTGAGGAAGCTTTCGTTTGATATTGCATGAGAGAAAATATAAAGTGCATTCTTCAACTTCTTACTTTCTCATCAGAACAGTATTACATGTTTTAGAAGAAGGATGTGATGTTTGTTAGATCAGAACAATTGTCAGAAGCACCTTAGAAAACTTGGAGAGAAGGGAAAATCTAAGAATAAAAGTTGGAACAGCTGTTCTCATTACATTTCTGTCTGCAAAAAGTATCAGTATATTGCACTGAAAAAGGAGATGAGAGAAAAGACTTAGCTCTCTAATTCAAGCAAAGAAATGATAATCATGGCCATCTTCTGTAGTGAGATGGGAGAGTGGAGAACAGTAACATTCAGTAATGAGCAGTTTTTCTTAAACTGTTCAGTTTGAGAGGCTTAAAAAATCAGTTGCCTAAAATAGAATAAAATGTGATTTATCATGTTTTTCAATGCATACTACTCACGGTATTATGGATGTCAAATCAGATTTGTATTGAAGAGTTTAAAGAGAATAAGAATTAGTTTGTTACCTTTTTGAAAATGCTGTAATGTGCATGTTTTTATTAATGGACCTAGGGTATTGGAGCTGTAAGTTTGGTCTATTTTAGCCAAAAGTCTAGTTTTTAACGTAGCAGAGTACAAGTACTATAAATACAGTGATGCTGAACTAATTAAACAGACTATATTATTTGTGTTCTTTTTAAGATACTTTTGCATTTGGTTACCATTTGAAAATATCTGTAAAGTAACTTTTGGCTCGCTGAGTCATTTTCTTTATTGTGCAAAATCTGTGATCACCTTCTAGACTTGTAACTGATGTTTTTTCCCTTTCTAGGCTTGGGCAAAACTGCGCCTGACCCCACAGCCACCACCACCCTTGGTGGTGTGGAGGTTCCCTTGGGGAACGGGATCTCAACAGGAATTAATGATACCTGTCTTCTGTATAATGAGTATCCTTTGCTATTCTGTTGGCTGCACGCTGTGTTTGAGTGTTGCTGAGTTCATTCGTTAATGTCAGTCAGGAGTTCTGGCACACTGTTTTGTTTCTTTTTAGATCTGCTTTGGAGTACTCGCAATTTAGAGTCTGCGACAAGGGAGGTGATTTTATGGTTGTCACACTTGAATTGTAATTCTGAAAAAAAAGGAAACAGTGCACATAGCAAATAGCTGTTGTCCCAATAGGACTTAGTACCTGAAGGTATTGGAGTGGCCAGTAGTGTCTTGTCCAGAGACGTTGCCAGCACAAGGGGAGGGGAATGAATGCAGACTGTGGTTTCACATCGCTCTGGTCTGGTTTCTTCCTCATAGTGTTGTGGCTGGCCAGCTTGGCCAAGTGGAGGTGGGGAAGCCACAGCTCTGTTGCTTGATGAAGTCTCTCATCACACAGTTTCTCTTGTGTTCCCTAGACTCTTTGCAAATATTGAGGTAAACCCATCAGAGATGTAGCCATTAAGCCTCTTTCTGGATAGAACTGCCTCCCAATCATAGAATCATTAAGGTTGGAAAAGATCTCTAAGACCATCAAGCCCAGCTGTGAACCCAACACCACCATGACCACTAAACCATGTCCTGAAGTGCCATGTCTACATGTTTTTTGAACATCTCTAGGGATGGTGACTCCACCACTTCCCTGGGCAGCCTGTTCCCATGCCTCACCACTCTCGCAGTGAAGAAGTTTCTTCTAATAGCTGATCTAAATCTTCCTGAATGAATGTGTGTTTGACATTCATAAGAGGTCATAAGAATAAGTGATCTGAGGTCCCAGATCAGTCTCTTCACTGCTGGTGAAGCAAGTAACCCAATAATAAAACCTCTGGGTTGTGTAGAAGCTGCCTTCTGTCTTGGTAAGCTGTTTTCCTCTTACAAGCAGTCTTGCAATAGAACTCATAGCAATAATGTGATGGTGCTGGGCCATAGGCTGGACTTGATGATCTCAGAGGTCTTTTCCAGCCTCAACAATTCTGTGATTCTGTGTCATAGCATCTGTCTTGGTCAGATGATAAAATTCAATATACTTAGTAATAGCTAATAGAGGTAGCACGATGTCCATTCATTTTGTATTACACTGTGTTTAATGGGGATGCTTTTAGTCTAAAATTGGGACTAGAGGCCAGTTTGAGGTCTAAAGTAGAGAGAAACAGGTGAGTTGGGACTGCCTTATGAAAGAATAAAATGGCGTGCTGCAGTTGTAGAATGTGTAAGCACTGCCAACCATTGTAGAGCTCTTCTCTGCAATTCCAGTTTGGGTTTTTTTAGTGGGACAATTACAAGGACATTCATGACTTTGTGCTGGAATGTAGCAGCAGAACTACAACTATAACTGTAGGTGCCAGGTCTGTAACTGCAAATCTCATCTAGGCTATGTCACTCTACTGTTTAGATAGTGAGAGAGGTGTTGTGTGTTATGGCTCTGGCTGACAAAAAAACCCCATCTTTAAGAGCTAGAGCCCTGTATGTAAAGTCAGTTCACCTGCCTGTCACTCAGGATTCCTGCCGCACCATTTTTAATTCTCCGTATGACTGGTAGTTGTTTGTTTCTGACTATTGTATAAATCATTTTCAGAGCCAAAGAAAAGTCAGATCTAAAGATTTGTGGCTTGAGCTCTTAGAACTACTTAATCACAGAGGTATCTGTCTGGTAACTTCAGTTCAAAGGTGTGGTTTGACTGTGTTTTGAGGTTTTTCTGTGTTATTAATAGCAACAACTGTAATGATTCCTTAACATCCTTCCCAGGTATATTGTGTATGATGTTGCTCAGGTAAATCTGAAGTACCTGCTGAAACTGAAATTCAACTATAAGACGTCACTCTGGTGAACAGTATTTAGAAGCCCCGTTAGAGTTATACTGTAGTTTCACTATAGCGCTGACTTCTGACATGCTTAAGCATTGACTTCTCTTACCAAGGTATCAAGAGCTAAACTGCAGAAGAGGTTACTAAATCCTAATTAGTACAACACTTAGTGAAAGTTTTATATAAACGTGTGGCAATATATGGACCTGAATTCTGATGAGAACGAATACCTGTTTTTGTTTTATACCACTTCTAATTTGGGGGCTTTCAAGTGCTTCTTTTAATTGACCAAACTGGCAAAAAAAACCCCCAACACTGAAAATCAAGCATGTATTTTTAGCGAGACAGACTTGGGCAATAGCAAAAGGAACTTGAGGATGTTTGCGGTATTTGCTCTGTTAGGGTTCCCTCATGTTCAAGATACCCTTTCAAAGTTCTCGTTTCAATAAACAATAAATGTGCATTTATTTTGAGGTAAAAAATAAAAGCTAATTTCATACTAACAGCTTTATGTTTCAAAATTTCCCAATTGTTTTGGTTTTGAGTCACGATTTAAATGTATTTAGTAGAATGTTCTTAGACATGATATCTCTCTCTGAAGATAAATGCCAAATATTGAAATCTGTAGTCACGTTTCAGAAAGTCATGGTGAAATGAAAATTTGGACTTTACACTGAGATATCTGTCAACAGTTGGTGTGGTAAACATAGAAAATGATCTTGTGGCTGTTTGAATTTAATATTAGCCCCAATAAACCTCCTTTAAATATCTACCTTCAATGTGATGTAAGTTGGTTGTTGTAGACTGAAGTCCTAACAAAGCCATAAGTTGAGTTTGGGCTCAAGCTTCCCTCATCATGAGCTGGAGTGAGGTCTGTTACCACTCCACAGAGTAGTCCCGAATGCCTTGTCTTGAAAGATCAATATAAATTAATAACTTCAATGTTTAGTCATGTTTGTTACTTCTCGCTTTCACTAAGTCATTGAGCAATTTGGGAGTATTTGACTGGAGAGCAACATCAGTTCTTTCTCTTCAAAAATTACTGATTTCCCTGAACAATTAGAGCAAGTTGGCTGATCCCCAAGGACAGCTCTTCATTGGTGGTTGCATTCAGTATCTCTTCCGCTATGGCAGTTCCCATCCCAAGAAGAGACAGTTAAAGCTCATTCTGACGATTGCAGCTTCAGTCTTTGGTAACCTGTGTGGAAACAACAGATCTGTTTCCTAAAACTGTATCACATCCCAGTGCCTTCTGAAAAAGCAGTTTGAAGCCAAAGTTGTTGCTTGTGGTGCAGCTGTTTCTAGGACCCCTGAAGGAAAGGAGGATGAGGAGTGGTAGATGGAAAACAAAGCTGCTGTCAGGGAGAAAAGGAAATGGGGAAGGACTGGGTAAGTCATAATGGCTTGAGGACAATTCAGCACAAGCAAATCAGCTGAGGGTGGTGCTAAAGGATTTTGAGAGGAAGTGAAGAGAGCAGCCCTTGTCTTCTGGTTCTTCAGTAATTTAACCAGTGGCTAATCATTGCTTTGCTTCCCACAGAAACTTGTCGCTTAAGTATAATGTTGTCAGTCTGAAAGAGAACACGAGAATTGATTCAGTTGAGTTGTGAAGTAGATTCCTCCCTCCCTCCAAAAAAGGCCATCTTACAGTTCATTTTGTGACCAGGAACCTAAGGTAGGTGCTTTTGGGGTTCCCTCTGTCATATGTACCAGAGATGGCTCAAAGTTCCCTTTTATTCCAATCCAAGCAGCACGAGGAGCATTTTACACTGTGTGTGTAGCATTCAGTTATAACTGAAGCACAAGCAATTATATCCCATGCTGTTTCCAACCTCACAAATACAGCAGTAAAAGGTACAGTTAGACAGAACGTCGCGAAGAGGCAGCAGGTGCCTTTTGGGGACTGTAGGAGAGCCCTGGCGTGACCATCCCGCAGTGGAATCTAATGTGAATTCAGGCGCCACTTCTGCTGACAGCAGCCCTGCTGCTCCTGAAAGCAGGCGCTGGTGATGCTGTGACCCAGCATGCAGCCAGCCTCTCCCTGGGGCCAGGCTGAGAACAACAGCACGGTGACAACCACTGAAGGCATCACTCCTGGAGTATGTGCACGAAGCAAAGCTGGATGAATAGGTAGTCCCATTTCTGTCAAAATTACTTGAAAGGAACGAGTTGTCAAGACGTTAGGTCACCATGACGTCCTCTGCTTTTTTTCAGAGGAGGGATGTTGAGGATTGACTTCTGATCTAAATGTTAAGCTACAGAAAGCAGCAATTTATAAATATTTAACAAATTTGTCTTTATTTAGTGTGTCTGAAGGCTCTGTTGTACAATGGCTTGCAGATGTTGAGGTAGCCCCTGCAGTTTACATAAATTGAGTAAACTGAAGAAAGCCAGCCTAGGCTTATGGATTAGCAGTCTGTAGATTGTGACTTACCCAAGTTTATGCAGGAAAGAAGTGGCTGAGAAAAAAATACAGCACTGGTCACCTAACCCTATACTTCAGCCATAAAACAGTCTTTAAATTAAATGGTACAGCCTTTAATGAAATTCCAGCCCTCCCCCCTTTCTGTTTCTAATCAGAGGAAAGGGAAAAAAAACCAAAACCACAAATAATTTATATGTGAAAAAGACCTCTGGGCATATCCAACTTTCTCAAATACCATAAAGAGTTGTACTCATGTTTTTAAATGAGTCCTGCAGCGTTTGTAACTACTGAGATCTTTGCTTCAGCTTTCTTTCAGAAGACTTCCAGACCTCCCACTGTGAGTTCTAGGGACATAATTTTTCTGCTGAAGTTTCTTTGTGGACAATTTATATCCCACTTAGTATTTTGCTTAAATTGCTTTTATGTATGTGGCCCATTATACTCTCACTCCTGTTATGCCCATAAAAAAAATACTTTACACCGTGCATCTGACCAAGAGCTTGTGTGTCCCTTACTTTCATGTAAATGCCAGGCTACTTCTCCAGAAATGATCATTTTGGAGATGCAGTGGCACCTATGAGAAGAAATGCAGAGATATAGATCCCAGCCAAGAAGACTTACTGGTTTTCATTCCTTCCAGTGTGAAGGTAGCATGTGAGCCAGCGGGCGTTGTTGGGTCACTTTCACAGAAAGTGAGGTGCATGAGTACAGGCTTCCCAATAACTGAAAGGGAAACTACTGCTTCCCCCACCCCCTCATTACCAATTTTAATTTCATAAGGTGATTAATGCAGCAGGACTCAGACTTCACAAGAACGTGCTTCAGTGTCTGAAGAGCACACTCCTCCACCAGCTGTCTCTGCTTTTCTTCCCACTACCAGTGCCTGCCTAGGGGCGGTGAGAAAATGACAGCCTAATCATCACTGGGATGGAGCCTTACCTGCGCTGTGCTGACAAGGCTCTGAATGCATTGATTAGTGGGTGGTGTAACCCATGTCTTAATATCCTCTGCAGTAATTAAGGAGCAGTGGGAGCTGCTTTCTGCAGCGTTCTGGCGCGCGCCATTAAGAGCAGTTGCCTGACGTGACCCTCTGGGAAGGCCAATGACATGCGTGAAGCCTGTTTCAGGACCTGCCTCCATCTGTGCGAGGCAGGTGAGTCAGCAGGGCCTAATGGCAGGTGGTTAGCAAGGAGCGCAGATGCTCTCGGTCACCGTGCCTGTCTGTCAGGTTAATTGTGTCATTTCTACGTCACCCAAGCGTAAACCACAAATTTGCCAGAAAGGTAAAATAAATTAAAAAAAAAGAAAAGTATATGTTCATACTGTTCAATGGCACTGGCTACGGCTTTGTCAAACAGGGTTGTGTTTGTGTGCCTTGGGAACAGCATGCACAGGCAAAATGAGAAAACAGAATATAGGGATTCCGCAGCATTCATAGAAGGCCAAGATATAGAAGGTCTCCTATAGTAAGAACCTTCATAATACAGTGTTGACTGTTGTTACCCTTTCAGCACAGTAGGTGGTAATAACTACTGCTTGGTATTTTCCAAATGCAGCTGTTGGAATGAAATGAAGGAATACCCAGCATCATGTTGTTGGGAGATGAATTCTACCTTCTGACCTGGTGATTTTTAAGATGACTGGCAGGGAGCGGGAGCAAATCATAAAAATTGTTTGGGTTGGAAAGGGCCTTGAAGATCATCTGGTTCCAACCCCCTGCCCTGGGCAGGGACACCTCCCACTAGACCAGGTTGCTCAAAGCCCCATCCAGCCTGGCCTTGGACACTGCCAGGGTTGAGGAGGCATCCACAGCTTCTCTGGGCAACCCTTTCATCTGTTTTTATCAAAATGTCCAAAGCCCTGAAAGGCATGGGCGTGTTTTTTGTTTCTTTTTTCATCTTTCCCTTCTAGAAACTCAGGTTCTGAGGACTGTTGCAAAATGTGACTGTGTTGTAGAAGACTTTTCTTCCCTCCCCTGGCCTTGGTGAAAGCTCTAGTATCAGGGTGGCACTGGGCAACTGTCGCTTTTAGCGCAGCGAGACCTGATGACAAGGTATACAAAGCAGTAAAAAACCTCGCTGATGATCAAGTGTCTCCTGTCAACCGTGGAAGTCTCAGTGTTGCCACTCTTTAGTCGAGCATTAACATAAAGCCCATGGAACAAAGAGGCTGAAATACAGGAAAAGTATTAGTGTTGGTAACACACAATTGTCTACCTGAGCCTGGAAGAGGTCTGGTCCAGGTCAGGCCTTCTGGGTGGCACTGGTGTTTGATTAAAGGGGAAAATTGTCCAGGGTTTACATGTAGCTTTTGCCTTGGAAGTAGCACAGATTGCTGTTTGATTGCTTTTTCTTATTAGAATATTTAGGGTTATGCTTACACTGATTTGCATCTCTCCCCTATAGTTGCTTTGGTTTGTGCTGTGCCACATAGGAAAGCCATCGCTGAAGCATCTTGGGCCATTTGGGGGCTAAGGGGAAGGAAGGCTGTTTTAACAGCACTTCAAAATGAAATGGTGGAAATGCAGGCTAGGCTTTGTCTTTTTACCTTTTTTTTTTTTTTTTCTTTAAACTACAATGTACCTCACAAGCCCTGAAGGAATTTCTAAAGGACCTTACTCGTTTTGTGTCTTCTCTTAGAACCTCACTTTTTTCCTCTTAAGCACAAGGCCAGCATTGATTTTTTTTTATTATTTTTTAAAGTTTTTTCAATAACATGACCCATATCCTGTTCCTCTCAAACTGCTAGAGTGCCTAGTCATCTGATTTAATTAGCAAATTAAGAACACAAATTAAAAACTCTATTCCATGTCTCAAGATAACATATTTTCTGTGTTTTGCAGAATCCTTGGTTTTGCCTAGGTGCTTTAAAAGAGACGCAAACAACTGGGCATAGCATCCATTTTGCACTACACTGTGCTGCTGTTGGCAATATGGTAACGAAGTGACTGATTGAGCCTTGACTAAGAGACAATGTTAACTTTTATTTTGAACTTCAATTTGCTTTTTCATATACTTAAAAGGGAATTTTGGTCGATATAAGTAACAGCAGGTACTTTTGTCAAAGCCCAGTACACAGAGTCTAGGTGCTTGTGGTTTACTGTAGCAGCTCCATGCTTAGACTTCTTGATGCAGAGTTCCACGTTCACTGTAGTACAGAGACCTGAGGGGACTTCCCGAGGAAACCATCTCCCCTGCTCACAGAAAGTTTTCGGCTGTGCTGGTTGGGGTCCGCATTAGCAGGCAGACCAAGACAAGCAGCAGCAGCATTGGGCAACAACTGGCCACCACCAGGGGCTTTTGTTGGCTCCCTTCCTTGTGCTGGGTGAGAACAAACTCGACCTTGACCTTCAGG